ATGCAAAGGTGGTATAGTAGGTAAAAAGAGGCTCACTAATATTAATTAGGGCCCTAATAATATTGTTGTCCTCAGGCATACTGGCTTATCAGTCCCACTCTGTAACTGATGTAAGTGTTCAGCACATGAGGGGAAGACGGCATTAATGGAGTAGATGCCAACCCTAGGAAGAAGACAATTCAGTAAACGTTCTAGGATGAAGGATGTGTGTTTCCTAGAAAAAAAGGGGGCTTACTCTAGGCAACATAAATAGATACACCTTGAAGAGAGATGCTAGAAGTACTATGGGTTCTTCATGCTTAATTTCCAAATGCTACTCTTTCGTATCCACATTCTATCTGTTCTTTGATAGCACTGAGCACAGAGCACTTCTGTGATGCTCTCCTGCGGCACCTGCTGCCTTTGACACTTAATACTCCAGTTGCATGGCATCTCTCAACTGTACAGGAAGGAGTTTAAGAAGTCCTTTTCTGTAAACACTGTGGGTGCTCAATCTTTAAGGAATGCATACCTAAAAGCAGATCAGCTTATAGCCCTTGCACCCTGCCAATACCTGCAGCATAAGTGGAATCACTAGACTCAAACTTGGGGAACTGAGAGCTCTATGTGGAGCAAAGCTCCACTAGTACTTAGATGGCCACACCATAGACTTAACACCAAGCACACATGTCCTCTCCTTTACATCTAAGACACCGCATGCATGCCAGGTGTAAGTTCCCTTACTGGCATACTCTCCAAATACCACCGAAAGATAAAGCCTGTGTCTGCCTTCTTTGTAAGATCTGATCCACATTAACATTGAAAAAGCCTATCATATCAAGCTGTGAAAGCCTAAATAATAACATAGGCCTGAGGCTAGGAGTCATTTCCTCCCAGGTATATTGGCTTGAGTGCTTTGACACCAATAAGAGAAACCATGGTATTTCTTTTCCAAGAAACACTAAATATTTAATTGAATACATGCTTTAAAAAAAGAGAAAAACTCATTTAGAAATGACCTACTTCATTCTTATGAAAGGATATTTAAATGCGTCTCACAATCTGGCCTATAGCTATTCATTCTTATTCTAAGGCTGTTTTAATTTTTTTTTTTTAATTTATGGCAGTTGTGTGTATAGTGTGACCTACAGGTTGAGCTCCCCCTGGCCTGAATTTTGTATCTAAACTGTTAAGAGTGTGTGTGACTGAATGTTGAGAACTTTCCATGGCACTCTCTATCAAGTACCAGCCAGAACTCCGCCAGGCACAAACAATACAATATCCAGGTTAATTAAGGAGAGAAGCATAGAGGCTTCCCAAAGAAAGTTTCAGGAAGGAAGCCTGACCCAATGGAGAGGAAGAGGCTAAAGCTACCACCAGGCACAAAGACAGGAGCTGCTCCTGGCCTAAAACACGAGGGTGACTAAGAAGAAAGTTCAAACAATTCATCTGGTTTGTTCCTGTGCCATGGCATATACTTTCTGAAATGAAGAAACCCCATGGACAGCTTGATGTGATAAGAAATAAACCACTGAGAGTGGGAGCTTCTCAAAGCCAAGAGCTGAACAGAACTAAATGATCATAATGTCAATGAGCAGGAATGGTGAGAGAGATACTTTTGAAGCTTAGGACAAATGCCAAGGAGGCTCTACATGACTTCTCACCCAACTCTATCCTCAAATTGTTCTAAAGGCCTTAGCATAATGTCAGTGGAAAAGCTACAACTCTGCTGTTAGGGAAGATGGGTACTTTTTTTTTTTGGAGACAAGGCCTCACTATATAGACCAGGCTGGCCTCCAACTCACAAAGATCTACCTGCCTCTGCCTCTCAAGTGCTGGGATTAAAGGTGTGCACACCATGCCCAGCCTAAGTAATTTTTAGTACTTAACATACTGCAGCAAATTTTTCTTAGACATGGCTACCCTTCAGGTGCAAGTGACATGTCACCAGATCTGCTTCAAGTGGAGAAGACAGTATGCAAAGGCCACTGCTCTCCTAGGAAACACAAGATTGGGGGGGAGGGGCAAAGAAGAGTTGGAGGCCCATAGGATTCCTCCCTTCAAGGGTCTCCAGGATGGAGCTGTAGCGTGTTTTGAGAGAGTTGGGTGACTCGGAACAGAATGCCAGCCTGCCTTCCTAATAAGGGGAACACTTTCATTTCCCTGCTTAGGGAAGGTCAAAGATAGCCATGCAATGCTTCTTTTGGAGAAATCAGAAATCAACCAGGACCTTTTGAGGCCAAAACTATTTTTCTATCACATTTGTACGTTTTTCTGGTAATGACACTCTGACCTGGGGAATGGGTTTCAATTACTGCACTTGACTTAGGAGGAAAGAAATGGCTGACTGTGGCTGCTTCCTCTTTTTCTCTTTAGAGCCCAGCTTTATGTTACTGTCGTTGGGTTTGGCTGTTGAAGCTTTTAAGGCTAATGGCAACTGTAAACGTACCAAACAGTACAAGAGAGAGGAGGAGTGGAAATTAATTTAGCTATCCATTTGTCAGGATTCTATCTGGAAGATTCTTAGGAACCTATCTAAATCTAGAGGCTAGCCTGGACCTTTAAAATGGGACACAGAACCATCCAAGTCCATAACCTTTAATCTGTTTGGAGAAAGGAACAAACGTTAAATTCTACAGGTTGCTTTCTGGGCAAGATAAATATATAGAAGGTGGCTTGTTAAGACACAGTAACCCTGAAAGATCACATCCATTAAGGTGATGGATTCCACAAGGCTGTTTTAGTAGCAATTTTAGTTTAATAACTCTTGGGTATGTCACTGAAGATCTGGGCATTCATTACCACAGATGCATTTGGGGTGTAGAAAGCATTCAAGTGCTAACACCCATAGACCAAAGTACACCTGTGAGACCATCCTGAGTTATTTTGAATGGAGAGGACAGTGGAAGAGACAGAAGTAGACACATTCCAATTAAAGTCATCTCTGATGTGGACAGAAACATGGTGTTGTTTATTCTAAGAATTTCTTTTTAGATGGAATCTGTGCAGTCACAACTGTGATCATGATGAGTTGTAGATGTTGGAGGACCTCAGGGGAGAAGGAGGTCCTTGGGAGCAAAAGAGCTGTGAATTGGAGCAACTCAGGTGACTTGGGAGATTGATTGTGGTGATAGGGAAGTCAGGGAATGCTAACACTCTAAAAATCAAACCCTAGGCCAGTGATGAGGCCAGTCACACAGGAAAAGTGCTGTTCCACATTCAAGAAAATGGGGAGTTTATGCACAGAATGAGTGAGGACTTTATTGGCTTCAGAAGTAAACCCCTACAGATACCTACATAGAACCTTCTAGCATGGGAGGTATAAAGGCTGGGTCATACTTCTTCAAAGACGAACATACTGCTAATGATACCTACACCATTTGGTTATTTATTCTGACATCCAAAAGGCCTTCACAGGAAGCTACAAAACCTGATAAGAGAAGCACATGCTTAAAGAACTGATATATTTCAGCTGTCCAGTGTTTGCCTAGTATTCCAGAGGCCCTGGGTTCCATCCCAGCAATGCCAGCCAAACAAAACACAAAATAAAAAAGTACACACTCAGTCCAGTTTACTAACTAGAGAAGAGGCGAGGAACTAAATTCTTAGGAAGAAGCACCAGCAGTATGGATGCTGTGGACATCCAAGCAGAGGAGGAACATCTTTGATATGCTAATGAATGATACAGAAGATGCCAGCGATTGGTCTACTATGCACAAAACTGAGTTAACTAAGAAGCAAGGGGAACTGACAGCTCAAGCAGAAACACACAGACAAGAATCAGGAAGCAAATGTTCTAGCGGAACCAGCTTTAGAATGAGACACGACACCAGTTGATGGATTTTTCAGAAGGTGTAACATTTAGGACAGGCACAGATGTGTCTGTAACCAGTATTTAGGAAGCCCTTCAATGGTGGGTTATAGCAGAGTTCTGTCCCACTGCAATAGCTGCCAAGTGAAGAACACTTGGATTAGACGATCTACTGTAATCGGTACTGATGAGGCCTCCTCTCACTGAGCACTTTGCATTCTGTCATCTCATCGACTCTTGAGCAAATGGAAAATAAAACGTCTCCAGAAAAGTCAATGTGATCCTAGAAGGTGGTTGCTAGACATTGAGTGCTAAAGAGTAGAACGTGAAGAGCACCACGTGAGATATTCAGTGGGTATCAAGGAGTCTAGGGATGCAATGGCCAGACACATAGTTTAAAGGGACCTTGGGCACTAGCCAGGTAACAGACCTATGTGGTGGCAAAGTCAGTTTTTCAAGAGATTCTTTCCCCTCTTAGAGTGGACACTTGGAAGCAGCAGTTGGGGAAGGCCTGGTCTAAGAGGTCCTGCACACTGAGTTGGTACAGCCATGCAGCCGTGCTCTTTTGTAGACCAGAAGAATCCCAGTCAAGCAACATCAAACTATTAGAGAGCCACTGGGCACCAGGATGAGGAGGGAGGTCATATCAAAAAGAGGTGGTGCACATGAGTGCTCAGCTTGGAAAAGAAAGTCTCCCAGGCAACAAGAAGCCCATGCAGCCATACTACCAGCAGGCACCCATTAGAGGAAGGAGGATGACAGTGCATTCTGCAGTGTGGCCCAAGGAGGCATGCTGAAATTTAGTGCATGTATTTTCTTCATGTGGATTAAGATGAAATTTAGACCAAGACATGATCCAGGCCACAATACTTACCATGTCATCAGCTGTGGCCAAGCAGAAGCTACTAGAGGGCTCTTTAGTAGCCAGGCTGCCATTTTTCCTAGTGTTTTTGCCTTGGGTGGTGATGCTTCAAAAAGAATTCCCTCATGCTAAGGTGAGAGTCATCTGATGTTAACAGCTCAGATGTTAAAGTTCCTCCTAGAGCCTTAAGATTCAGCTCAAGAGCATAGTATCAAGTGTCTCTGGAGTTCCAAAGTAAAGGAACATGTAAGCTCAGAGACTTAGAGGGAACAGCTAGGCTTCTTTTTGTTCATACCAGAAAGACAATATACATTCAGGACATTTCCAATGGCAATGAAGGTACCATACCTGTGATGATGGTAAGGATGGTGGTGGTGGTGGTGGTAGTGGTGGTGGTTGTTGTGGGAGGAGGGATAGTTGTGGGGGGATCTGGATAAAAAAAAAAAGGAAAATCAAACCCACAATGCTGAACACAACAATGACCAGTAACGACAAACGAAGGCATGGAGACACTGAGATGTTGGTTGGATGGCTTCCTTCTTTAAACCATCAAGTTCCTTCCCCTCAGAGACGTAGGTCTGAAACTACATCCCAAAGCCTCAGTTGGAAGAGCTAAGAAAAGAAGAACAGCTTTCTTATTCATGAAGTGAGTACAAATGAAATGGGAAATAGAAAAGTGAGAAAAAAAATCTAAACACACAAAACCCCTAACCCCGCCAGATCTTAAAGGCAAGGCTAAGTCACCTCTGTGCCAAGAAATCACAATGGCTGTCCCTTTCTACTTCACAGATGGGAGGAAAGAGTTGAAGGAGCTGCTGCATTTAAAGGGCTTGTATCAGCCAAGGATGAACGTGGCACTGCACACATGCTCTCTGCAAATGCTAACTTCATTATTCTCCATCAATACATCCCAGCAGGAAGGAAAACCACTTCTGTATCCATAATAAGTACAAAGAAGAGAGAATGTCACCACGGACTGAGGACCAAGTTCCAGGCAAGTGAGATTTTACTGAGATGTTATTTTTTTAAAAAGTCAATAAATTTTTACACCTTATAAATATTAATAAGTTGCCTTTGCTCATGTTAAAAGCTTGACCTAAGTGGACCACAATGATAAAAATGAAAGAACATCTTCTACCTTGTAAACAAGAGAGCTAAATATAAATGAAGTTTGACCCTCAAATCCAGGAGCCGGAGAGGACGCCTCTGTCTGGTACTTGATACACTGTATCTTCTATCATCTCAAAAATTATTTGGGGATAAGGAAAGGGCAAAAAAGAAAAAAAAAATCTAAGCCCAGATGATCAAACTGAATAAGTTAAATTGTCAGCAAGACTTTGAACTAAGCAATCATTCTGCTATAATAGAGCAGAGGACGATTTGAAGGCTTTTGATTTTAAATTTTATCTAAAGCACGTCAACTTTTTCTCCCTGACACATCTGGTGTCCTTTTATCTTCAAGTGAGCTCTCGGATTGTCTAATTAATACATCAAAACTTTAATTATATATTGCACCTTTACTGGGTTTGGCACAACTTCCTGGGAGTTGATGGAATGACTCTTTTGGGCTTGGCTGCAAGGGCTGCATGAAATGATGCCTATCATTGATCAATAATCAAAGGTTTTCATTTTCTCCACCAACTGCTTCTCTCACACAATCAGACTTGTATGAACTTGATAAGGAAAGACCAACAGCACACGGTTCTGCTTTGTGCCAGGCTTTTCTCCTTGAAGATGTGGAAACAAGCAAATTAAACTGTTGTTTAATGCAGCCTCCAATGAGTCTAAAAAAAAAGGACTCCAGGCAAAGTCTCATTCTAAGAAGTAGAAATGATGAAATTTAAAATTTAAATTACTCTTTTAAAAGAACAGGATAAGAAATGACTGAGCATCATTTCAGTCTTGTCCTTTGGTGTGTTTTATGGAAGCCACAGGTGAGAAAGTTGTTTTTGTGATTGGGCAACTTGTTTGAACACATTTACATCAATGACAGGTGCCAACTAGAGACAAGTGAGCTGAGTGCCCTGAGACTCTAGCCAGAGTGGGAGACACCGCCTCCTTCCGCTACAAGTAAACTGTCCAGAGAGTGCCTCCTGCCCATCCAGGGGACACATAATGTGGTTTTTCTGTTTGTCTGACTTATAGCATTGCTGCTGAACAGCAATATTGCTACTCGGAAGACCTGCCCTACTGTACTCTAATGCTATTTTCAAAACCACTTCTAAACGCAATAGCACAAAGCATAGGATGTGTGCAACACGGTAAGAATGAGGGTGAATGTGATCCGAAGATATAGTTATGAACCAAAAGGCAGACAAGATGAACAAGAGGACAAATGTCAGGGAGAGGTCACCAGGACCTCTCAATATGTAAAAATGGTACACGTTCAGTGATCTCCATCACTGCTGGGCAAATCTTGTCTTTCCTGGCTCAGGAAATCTTGAATGAATCAGATTCCATTATCAGGTGAAACATCCTTGCTGAGGTCATTTTCAGTAAGAAGGGTAGCACAAGGCCACTATTTAAGAAACCAGAGGGCTGGGATGTAGCTCATCAGAGAGTGCTTACCCAGTATGCCAGAGACCCTGAAATCAATGTACAGCATTATAACAAACATAGGGAGAAACAGAAAGAGCTGGAGCTAATGAGCTGTGCTTGAAACATGGATGCTAAAAGAACAAACCCAACTGGGATTCAGGCTCTAACCAGCCAGATGCTTTGAGGAGAGAAGTTAATCCAGAGAATTAAATATTTTAGAAGTGTATCAACTTTTAGTTCACAGAGTACTTTAAAAAGTGCTTAAGTACCACAGTATATTGCTCTGGAAAGACAATCTGCCTATCCCTGCCCAAATTGTTAGAATGTTTTGTTACTAGACCAGCAATACTTCGGTTTAGTATGCTAGCCTGCCATTCCAATGGTGCTACTAGCAGGGACCAAGAAACAGAATCCCTAGGAGGTTGGATGGATCATGGATATGCCTGTATACAGGAATGTTTGCCTAAGTAGGTGAGTTCCTACAATTCTTACTTTTCAAATAATGCACTATGGTCCAGGGAGCTAATCTCAAAAGGCCAATCTCATTTTGGAGGGGCTTGGTCTCTTGAAAAGCCATGAATAAGAGGAACTGCAAAGATCAACTTTGCAGTGAGTTTTGGGATGACAGTGTGGTGGCCCTAAGGCAATCTGGGGACCCTGTGAACGAGGCCATGTTGTATGATGGTTCTAAGCTTCACTTGATCATGTCGAATGGGGTGAAAGATAAGCACAGATCACGGTGTTATTGTGGAAATTGGATGAAATCGTCTAAAACTGTCCATGCCAGAAACAGCATGAAGGGAACACTCAACAAATTCTCATTATAAGCTAATTTTCCAAATTATGCAAATATGTTTGCCAAACAAGGCCTCAAAAATGTTTCTTCTTCTCATCTTGAGATGTAGGAATAGTAGGTACAGTTGAACTGTTTGAGGTCTTCTGAATCAGAGAAGTGCGTCACAGACGGGCAGAAAGTGCTCACTGTTTTTTGGAATGTGAAGCCTGTAAAAAGAACTAGACTGATATCTATAAACCTGGGCACAAATGTCAGGGGCACTTCTATCAGGCTTAGACCTTAGGGTAGAAGGGGTGCATGCAAAGCACAGAGAGGAAAGTATCTTCTATCTCTGCCAAACAGTGCAACAGAGCTGCTCTGCACCTCGCCAGCTGAAACTGGGTGCCCATGCCCCTTTCTCACTTCTGCAGCAGAACCTTTTTTTTTTTTTTTTGTAGATTTCCTTAACCACTGAGAACAGTAGCTAGGTATGGACCACTAATGAGACTGGGCAGCATGCAAAGACAGCACACTCTAGAGGCTTGCAAATGCAGGGATTTGACAGGATCTTTTAGTTTTATATTATGCTAAGGCAGCAGTTCCCAATCTGTGGGTCTCGACCCCTTTGGGGCTGCATAATAGATATTTACATTATGATCCATAACAGTAGCAAAATTACAGTTATGAATTAGCAACTAAATAATTTTATGGTTGGGGTCACCACAACATGAGGAACTGTATTAAAGGGTTGCAGTATGAAGAAGGTTGAGAACTATGTGTTAACAGGGAAAAAAAATCCCTCAGGTATAGGCTAAAGATTATAATTTCATATTCATATAGGTATAGCACAAAGGATGCCTCTCTCTGTTCAAAGATGCCTCTCCTTCATAGGGAGGGTGCCCAGGTTCTGAGACAGTACAGTGTAAATATTATTCCATATGTATAATTTATGTGTCAATGCCTATATTTACAAAGCTATCATGAAGACAGAAATGGGGCCCCCATATTCAAATATTTATAACATTAGAATTTTGATGCCTCTGGTTACTCATATGTTGGGCCAATGCATGACTTTTTCTTAGTATAAAATGAAGAGACTTCAATTGGACAGAAGAGATTCAATTTGATACCACAAAACTATAAAGAGAGTGTACTTCTCAACTAAATAGAGGATATTCACAATATACAAAATCAGCAGCAAGATATGAATGGGAAATGCCCAGCACCATAGGTGTTCAATGTGTATCTGCTGATTCCAAAGTGAAATTTATGATAATATGCTTTAATAACCTTGTAGAAAGATGTTAAGAAAACATGACATCTTTTTAAAAGTTGGCATTTGTGCTGGACGGTGGTGGCGCACGCCTTTAATCCCAGCACTCGGGAGGCAGAGCCAGGCGGATCTTTGTGAGTTCGAGGCCAGCCTGGTCTACAGAGCGAGATCCAGGAAAGGCGCAAAGCTACACAGAGAAACCCTGTCTTGAAAAACAAAACAAAAAAAATAATAAAAAATAAATAAATAAATAAATAAATAAAGTTGGCATTTGTGTCTAAAACAGAAGGTGTAGGTGGCCTCTGCAACTACCAAGGACCTTACATTTATTCTGAGTGTTTACTGACTTGCACAGTCTTCTGGATTTAATAGCTCCATGTTGAAAATAAGATAGTTATGTTCATCAAAGTGGGAGAAAGGCTAGCCTAGGCATCATAGGAAAAAAAAACCACTGGGAATAAACTTTCTGAGCTGAACGCCACTAATTAGTAAGGTTGAATTTTTCAGACATTACTTCTAACATAATCTCCATGGCCTGTGCCTGAGGACAGCCTTCCTACTCAGCATGAGCAGAGACTGTGATCTTGTGGGAAACCCCCACCATTAGAGAGAGAGAAAAGAACAGTCACTGTCCACATAGGTGGGGACCACCAGGGTCCACCTCAGGCCAGGCTTCTTTAAATTCCTGAAGGACACCAACTGGTTTTTTGGTTTTCAACTTGACCAAAGGCTTTGGGGGTGAAGCCCAGGCAGTAGCTCCATGCAGAGGGGCAAGAAGGGAGGTGTTTCGTCTTCTCACGTACCGTATACATACAGCATGTAGTCCGAATGAGCTTTCCCCACTATGTTAGAAGCCTCACAACGGTAAGTACCGTTATCTGTTTTGTTTAGGTTATTGATGAACAGGTTTGGCCCGGACAGTACGGCATGTTGAGGCATTTCGTCATCGACTCTCACCCAAGTTACCATCACAGGCCTGCAGAGCAAAGGCAAGAAAGACAGGGTCATTCCCCACTCAGGTATCTGTATCCAGTTTCTCACGTGTGCAGCCAACTAATAACATGTGGGGCAGGGCGATGCAGTTAACCGGACCCACTGAAGAGATGTGAAGTTCATAGAATGAAGATCATGCAGTGGCCAAACGTATGCTTGGAATATTATTTTAAAAAACATAATCAGGTGTTTAGAAATCTTCAAGACTTGGTAAGTGGGAGTTTTAGTTCCAATTCATCTTCAGTAAGTGAGCAAATAACCCAACGTGCCCAACTCACATGCCCTGCTGTGTGGTTTCACACCAATTCAGCCAGGACAGAGCTCACACATTGTTAATCATCTCGTTAATTAGAGAGGAAAAAAAAGCAAGGTCTTGGCTAGTGGTGCATGCAACAACCTAATGGTTACTAACACACCAAATGTTTGCTTGCTCAGAAGCCGCTTGGGAGTTAAAATGGACCTTGACATCCGAGCAGCCCCCTCATCTCCCTTCCTTTCTCTGATGGGCACCGACCATGCTGGCCCTACCACTAGGCTATATCAACAGCCTTCCTTAATTGCCATTGGCTCTCAAGGTTGCCCTAGCTGGTCCAGAACTTGGGTGTGTAGACCAGGCTGCCCTTGAAATGGCAGTGAGTCTCCTGACTCTGCTTCCAGAGCAGCTGGGATTACAGACCTGTGCCATCAGCCTGGGCTTCAACAGAGCTTTACGTTGATCTGTTTTTGGAAAAGCTACCTTTGATTCTGGAAAGATGCAATCACTTCCTCTCTCTTTAGTCTGACTCTCCCCACCTGGGATGCCACTGGATGGCCCTGTCCACCTTGTCTATCTGCCCCTGATCAGTAATTGGCCCCCTGTATTGGCTCGTCTAGACCCAGGTATGGCTGGACCTTCCCCATGAGTGAATTTGGTTCTTGAATTAATGACGAAAGAACATATCTCAATGTAGACTCTTTAGGTCCAACAAGGGAATTTGCTTATCAAAAATATGTTTTAGTGACTTAAAATAAATACCACACATATCTTAAGATAGCCATTAAGGAAAAGCAAATTTGACAAGATGCTCTGGAGGGAAACGTGCATAGACACCAACTGCCTTTCACTCACTGAACTTGAAACCTGTGTTCTTCAAGGTGGTTCTTTCATGCTCCTAAGAAACCAAGTGCATATCTAAGAGTGTATCTGAAAATATGTTCTTTTGTGTAGTGTGTGTGATACTGGAGACAGTACCCAGGGCCTCAGGAGTGCTGGGCAAGCACATACCCCAGGTTGTACCGTTAGTCCCCAACTTCTATTTGAAAGGAAGGATGACACGGGTTTGAACTTACAAGCAATTGTCTTTCAGTCCCTGCCACTCCCTCTAGGAGCAGTGACATGCGCAGAGACCCAGGCATAAATGACGAACGGATACCCAAGTTAGGCCTGCCAAGTAGCATTCCAATGTTCAAATGGGATGTGAAGTTGCAATTTTTATTTAATTACACGTGGTTTGTCATCACAATGCAGTAAATTATTTACAAGTTAGTACTGCATATGTCCTCCTTGTAGGCAGTAGCAAATGGGGCTGCCTGGCAATCAGACCTCACGCCCTGCTGCTTGACAGTTGAAACAATCAGTGGGGGTAAGCACTGAGAATATTCACAATATATAATGGCAAGTTAAATTACCATTTTTATTGTATGCAATTTCTTGAGAAAATAAATAGGTAATATGCAAGGAGGGATTGCTACAGAGTAATGCCTGCTTGTTCACACAACCACATACCCTTTCCAATTTGAGAGGAACAAACAAATACCCTCTCTGGCAAAAATGTCCTGAAGGAAACATGTAATTTACTGTCCCTGTGGTACATGCAATCGAACACAGTACCTTCTTCAGGAGAAAAAAATATACAGAAACAAAATACAGGTTAGCAAGCCCAACAGTACAAATGTAACTGATGTGGTTGAAATACAAGTGCCGTCAACAGTCAGAGGCCCATGAAAAGTGTTTTCCCTTGGTCCATGGGGTTGTTTGGGAGACAAGGGAAACTGCTAATTAGGGCATAAATCACTTTATAAAAGGAAAGATCTGAATCTTTTTGAAGGGCTTAAAAGAGAAAAAGACTGCTTTGTCAAAGCTGGGATCAAATGACCCAACAACACCAGAAAAGAAGCAAAAAAGGACCAGATCCCCCTTCCTCTAAAGGTCATCTTTATAACTACCTCCTCAGGCAGAGGGGAGGCTAACTAGCCCATGTATACAGGGCGGTGGAAGAAGGAGAAGGGACTAGCTAGCCATAGCCAGGTTCCTCCCTAACACAATGTCCTCTTGGCTCCTTAACTAGCACAGGGTGAGCTCTCTCTGAGGATGTAGAAGGAAGTACTGTTAAGATGCTCCGTGGTCTCCATAGGAAAATTGTGAAGATACTGCTTACCCGAACTGAGGGGACAGAAGAAATCATGCCACAGGGACAGCAGAGGGAGCTCATTGCTGCTTTTCCCATTAAGTACTGCTCAAAGTTTTAGCCCTTAATCCCAACTTGACCTGTCCTTCCATTTTATGATTCAGTGGACTGCGCTTTTGTTTGTTTTATCCTCTCAAAGAGTTAAAAACACTTTATTTTACTAGAAAGATGAAAAACTGCTCCCTTCTTCCTTCTGCTCTCAGTAAACTCTGAGCTATCTGCAGTAGCACAGCCTCAAGGCTTGTTTGCCATGTTAGTGGTGATCCCCACCACTCTTCTGATTCATGCTGGATTATTGGGCAGAGGTAAACAGAGCCTTTCCATCACCCTCCTCAGCAACATGAGAGTCTGTCAGCTCTCCCCTCCTCCTCCTTGGCAGCGACAGTCACATTCTCCTTGAGGACAGTATCTCTCCCCACTTACAAAGCTGCTTCTCAGTCAAGTACAGCTCTTTTCTTGGAAGCAATTTTTTTTTTTTTTTTTTTTTTTTTTTGTCTACATCTGGCCCTAAACACCTTCCAGCTTGGCAAGAACACCATTGTTAGCAGACATTCTATTGCATTGAGAGTATTCTGACATTTTAAATGATTTTTATTTCTGTGTACCCATGTGTGTCTTTGTGTGTGTGCACGTGTAGGTGGGTATCTGTGGAGGCCAGAAGAGGGTGCTGGGACCCTGGAGCTAGAGGGATTTGCCACCAGATATGGATGCTGGGAACCAAACTTGGATCCTCTGCACTAGCAGTGGGGGCTCTTAACTGCTGAGCCATCTTTCCAGCCCTAGTATGTTGAAATTTTATGTAAGAGAAAATAGCCCTGACCAGCCTGTTGACAATCATAAAACAGAATTTGCCAGGATTTCAGTTTTAGCTGGCATTTTCCTCCCATTCCTGACCATTGAGAATCAGGTATTTATTTCCCTCTCATTGAATATTCTTTGTTTTCTGAAAAATCATCCATCCTTTTTACAGCAGGAGACAGGTGACAGGCCAATGAGTTGGGAATGCACAGCTTCATGTTGTGACATTTACCGCTCATGACCCTCTGCCAACGTTAGCCTTCAGAACTTACTGGGGTTTCCCGATGGCTTCACACGTCAACTCAAGCGCATCCCCTTCCCGGGTCAGGCCTTGTAGAGGGTAAGTCATCTGGATATGCACTTGTGGCTTATCTGTGTGACAATGACACAAAGTGTGATGTTTAGCAAACAACAGCACCAGGTAGATGAGACCTGCATACTGCCACAAACCCCATACGGCCAGTACTTACTTTCTTCCCATCCATGTGCCTTCAGCAACATCCTTCTAATTAGTTAGTAATCCTGGCATTTGTTCAAATTAAATTGACTAATAACTCTAAGGAGTGAACCTTGAATAGATAAGAGATTCATAAGCCAACTGTGCCACATCAAACAATCCCTGTGAAATACATTTTGTTACATTGAACTTTATCTCCAAACTCAGTCAAGCTAAGGGAAACTCATTTGCCTTCATGCTGAGGTGAAGCTGCAGATATTTGTGGTGCTCAGAATTGATACATTTTATCGTATATCACATAACACCATGTGACAATGTGTTTTGACACTGCATATTAACAAGTTGTCTCTTCTATGCTCTTGCTATCAAATTGTTTCCTGAATTCCACTCCAACAGCTTTATGAAGAAAAGATGTGGAGAGATGGGTGGCCCCAAATGAAACCATCCTGATATAAACATAGAAGAGGAAAAGGGGACTGACATTCACCCGGAGCCCATTATCTGAGGAAACATTCCCCGTCATGGAATAAACAAGAATTTTAGGGATGACAACTTTGGTACCCATAAACGACACAGCTAGTTGGAGGTCACAGAGACAATATAATACCAGATAGCCCTACAGACTGAAGAGTGGGGCAGAGTTCCGATTCCAAAGTACATTTCTCAATGGCAGTCCATAATTAAAGCTGAGTATAGCTTTCTAATTCAATCGTGCATTCAGGAAAATGACACAAGTTAACAGTGGCTTAAAGCTGAGACTGCTGGGGAGATGGCATGTGGGTATCAGAGATGAATGATGGGGGTTCAGGGACTAAGGCAGCGAAGCAGAAGTAGTTACAATCAGCATGGCTAGATGTACAAAGACATTTATAAATAGAACCTGAGTGGAATCAGATATTTTCCTACGCTTCTCATTGAATTCTGTGGCTCTGTAAATGTGTGTTTTTGGAAACAGACCCAAGAGTAATAAGTGTGAGAGGGCAAGACATCAGTTGGCTGAAAGGTCAAAACAATTACCATAGCTTTACTTTCCCACACAATCACAGCACCTAAACAACAGCCCTTTGGCCTTTTACAAGTAGTGGTGAGCTCATTAGTATTCATCCTATAGAATAAGAGAGAAGACAGAACTATGGCCGGGCTCTGCCAACCTCACCCCCCACACAGCTATGGACGCCATGCAGGGGAGTCATCACCCAGGACAGCTGTTGTCGGATGAATCTGTAGTCTCGATCCCATCACATACCTTTTGCTATGTCATGGAGAATCCAGGTCATTATGGTCCTTTTAAGAGAGCCCCCTTGAACACCCACTGGTGTGCACTGCCCACTGGGAACTGGTAGTACTTTCTGAGGAGCAATGTCACTTGTCAGAGGACATAAAGCTGACAAAAGCTCCAGATGGTCACTGCAAGTCACACAGTCCCTCCCTTGGACTTACTGGCAAAGCAAAATGGTAAGGATCCTGATAAATGTTATTAGAGAAAGGCAGAAATATGTGCATAGAATAAACAGGGTGACCTTGAACTAGCATTGCTCTGGGGCTGAAGCAAGGGCTCTTGGGCACCCACTTTTAGATCCTATCTTAGACTAAACAGAACCTTGAGGTGTACTGTATGTCTATTATTTTTAATGATACAAGTTCTTCTGCCTGAAATACAGCTATTTGATGAAATCTGTTTTTTAAAAACAAAAACAAATGGGAGGTTATGACACACAGATAAGCTGTCTAATAGTTCACACCGAGAAACCTATCAGCACCCAAGAAATCTTGCTTAGAGGACTTCTGACATAATGGGAGAGCCCCAAATCTAGGCAGCAGCGTAACATCTGCTTATAGGTTGATCTGTGAGCCACAAGAGCTAGGTATTTTCATGCACTGCTGACTTCAGCCTGCTAGTTAAGGAGAACAGAATGGCTGCTGATCTGCACTGGCTGCCTGAGCTTGCCAAAGCATGCTTGTTGGTCTCCTGGTCTGCGCTTGCTGGTTTATGCTGGCTGCTATGTGTTTGCTGAAGCATGCTTGTTGGTCTGCAGTTGCTGGTCTATGCTTGGTGGTCTGTCTTACTAGTATGTGCTTGCCGGTCTGTGTGCAAAATTTCTGTTGTTTCCTGCTCTGTGTAATTTACAAGCAAACAGCAAGTGTGTATTTTCAGGACAGTGTACTCCGTCCAGGTCATCCCATGTTCAACTTCCGTTAATAATAGAGTGTGGCAACGTCTAACCCACCCTGCCTCTTTGATATCATTAAGTTTGTTTTAAACTTTTGTTTTTTTTAACACATGTTCCCAATGCGCTGCTTGCCAGTTGTCAATCACACACATAAATCAGAAAGAGCAGCTGAAGGACTTGCCATGCCTGAAATTTGTATTTGAAGCCACAAAAACTACACCCTGAGGAGCTCCGATCACTGCTTTTCTCAATGTATAGCCCAGGTACCTGGAGAAGTTTCTACCATGTTTGGTATGGACACAGCTGCCAGTTACCCCAATGGCTGGCAGAAAAAGCTCACATCATTGACACACACAGTATTTATCATCTGAGCAGGGGCAGATGAGCTATCTTTACACCCTATAAACCAAACAGAAGGACTGAGTGCCAAGACCTGTCCCTGAGGTGATAGGAAACTTAAAGGCAAATTTTATTCCCCTTCCTATGTCCTAACTGAGGAACTTAAGACTTTTCAACAGGTGGGACAGCAACATGGGGATTTCAGTAATGCCTCAAGGAATCAGGGGCATTAAATTGCCCCCCAAAAGGCCCTGGCTACAACAGAGACATGTCAAAATATCAAACTATCCAGATGGCTGATTGAAGAGCCAGAGCTTATCATTCATATTTTAATTACATACATAAATCAAATGTTATAACTCACCAAATCTTTTCTGAAACAGAACCAGACTCTAAGATTTATCTTTAAGTAATGAGGTAAAGCCTTGCACAATTTCTGGGGGAATCATTTTACGCCTCGGTTGGTGTCGTTAGGCACAAGGCTAAAAGCCAGATGACACTTTCTACCCGGGCAGTAACTGTCCAGCAACATATTGCTCAGAATGGCTTAATGTCATTATAAAATGGAACTGCTATATAAAAGTAAGAAAAACAGTTGGGCCTGTGCACTTAAGGGGCATTGCACTCATAGAGATGGCATCAGCAACAGCCAATCAATTAGGTGGAAAGATCTGAGGGCTTCATAATATACTGTAACTCTTTAAGCCCTCTCAAATACACTTAGCAAGACCACTAGAGCTGACAAAATTTGTTCATTAGTCCAAGGTGGACAGAGGGTTAATATACCAGGAGGTCATAGGGCACACTATAATAGCAACCAATTAAAAAAATAATTTTAGGAAGACATTCTGATTTGATGAGACATTCTTTAAATGTACTTTCCTCTCTATAAAGGGGGAAATAAAAAAGAAAACTCTTAAAGAGGTCTGAATGGCGTGCTGGCAGATTACAATTGATTTCATGCCAGTCTGACCTTGCACTACGTTCTGTGATCTTCTTAGAAGATGAAACTCAGGATTCTGTAACCTGTATGTCAACTTCCTATGCAAATGAAAATGCAGTCTCCTCTCTGAAACCCAACACTAGCACATCAGGTCTTTAACTGGGATGCCATCTTTCCCATGGAACAGAGAGCAGAAGAGCTGAAGCCAGGGGGAGTGTCCTGATGTCTTAGCAGATCTATCCCAGGGGCACCTGCTACTTCCTCTCATTTTCTTTAAAGTTCTAAGTCAGGGCATGCTAACACCAAATGTTCTTTGACATGCCTACTACAACCAGGGCCAAGGGTTTTGCATGAAAATCTCTACCTATAACTACAAGGACTTGAGTGCAAATCTCCAAGTTCCTTGCTTTATTTCCATCCAATGTTCAGAAACACACTGGGTGTGGGATTTGATGCCCATGGGTCAAGGGCTCACTTTTCAAGTCCTCCCAGGGAGAACTCGGCAGCACCCATATTGCTGCTACCAGCATGGCAAGGAGAGGGTCTGGGTCAGGCCCTGTGCACTCAAGCTTGCAGGAAGCGGTGACTGGAGGAGAGTCTGTCAATCATGGAGGATTACTGCAGTTTGGAGTAGAACAACAATGCCAAGATTAACCCGAGATTTGGTTCGTATTAGAAGCTGTTTGAGCTCAAAGCAAAAATCAGGCCCTACAATACAGTTGTTTAAACTGCTGGGGGAGACAGCTTTGTAATGAGAAGAGGGCACTGCGGGGCACAAAGGGAGACCGCACCTGGCTGGGGACCGGTCCACAGAGCTCCCAGAGAAGGGAAAAAGGACAGCTTGTAAACACTTGCTTTTCTACTGTCCTAAGGCACTCATTTTCAGGGCTGGTTGTTTGCTCTCACGGTGAGACAACCTCCTGCAAGTATGGAACAAACTGCAGCACTTAAAATTATACTCCCTACTTGTAATCCCAGCAGCTGGGAGGCTGGGGCAGGAGGATTTCCATGAGTTGGAGGTCATCCTGAGTTACACAGAGTGACTTCTAGGAAAGCCTAGGTTATTGAGTGAGATATTTGCCTCAAAACAAAAGGAAAAGAAAAGAAAAGGCAGATTAAAACAATTAGTTACATGTTTTGAGGAGGGATGAGCTATAATACATTAAGACGAGGATGAAATGACCCTGCTAGGGGCAGGGTGGGAACCGAGGGCACTAGCAACACAGGACAAAGTCACTTTCTCCTGTAGGATGCACCGTTTGTTTTGTTTTGTTTTGTTTTGTTTTGTGGTTGTTAAAATTACTGCTCACTCAACAGAACCCAGTTTTACTCCATGCCCTTGAGGAACATCGTTCTGTTGACAATGGGGTCCATACTCACAGAGTGCTTGCTTCCCCATAGCGTTGAGGAAATATTTAGGATCAGAAGCAAGTATTACTGAAGAGTGCTACTCTTTGAGAAG